TGGTCCACAAAATGGAGTTATTTTTTAACCCCCCGAAAAAACAGTAAAAAATGGGATACAAATTTTTGAAAATAAATTCCCAGATTTTTCGTACTGGGTTTTATTTTTTTTGGAAGAGTTTACATTTTCTTTGAAACTTCTAGCGAAACAATTAATTTTGATGCTGTTAAATTCTATTTCATAACTTTAGAATTAAACTTCTAAACTGTTGTGAGCTGAGGTGCAACAATAATAATATTATACACACTGAGAATTGTAGTTGTTTCAAGTTTAAACTAAAATTAAAACTTTTTGCTCATCTCGTTTATTCCAAGCTTCCGGTCTTATTGTAAACCCCCAAACTTAAACTTTTTATATCCGTTTTAAATCTTTTTTTTTAATTTCAAAGGCTTATAAAAAATTTGAAAAGTTAAACAAAGGAAATAAGTTTTTGCCACAAACTCAAATTTTATAATCTGCAAGTGTAAAACTTTTGATATTTCAAACTCAGACTAATTGATCAAACAAAATTTTAAGTTTGAAATATTAAAGGTCTACGCGCGACATCAGGCTCAAAAGATAAAGAGAAGGAAAAATCAGAGTTAACAAACGTCTATTTTTAATTCGGCTAAAAACCAAAATACCTTAAATTTGAAAGAAAAAAAACCAATTAAGGGATATCTCAACGATTCTCGCCGGTTTGTACATTCTTTTTTCCTAATTCTTCTCTGATCTCTTTTTCCCAGAGTTCCAAAACCCCCGTTTCCATTTTTTAAATATTCGATTTCTGATTGATTTTCCTCTTTGAATTTCTTTTAAATAATTCACAATTGTGGCAAAAGTTCCTCGTTATTTATTTTACTTTTACACTTTTACAATTTATCTTTTGTATATTTAACACAAATTAATCGTTATATGTTGTTATTGAAAAACGGCAATTCACATTGATATAAAGTAGACCTTTAGAAAATATAGAGAGTCGAGAACAAGAAAATGATGATTAAAGGAAAAATGAAAGGGGGTATAGGATGAAACCTTAGAATCTCAGGCGTTGAACGATACATATAAGATATCTATCTGATGTTCCTGTCTCGAAAAATTGATATAAAACTGTGTCAAAATTATGCGAAAATTCATATATTTGCAATTTTGTATAAAAGTAGTAGTATTAAACAGATCATATTCAACAAATACGCCACCAATCTGAAAACGATGATATCCCACAAGAGCCTGAGAATCTTAGGTTTGCTCCTATTATGATTTTTTTATTTTGATTTTGCATTTTTAATTGATATAATTGATAATAATATTACATACAGTCCATATAGTCAGTATTACGTCACCAGAACTTCAGCCAATACAATAACTTTTATACTAAATAGCATATATAAATTTTTGTATACATTGGACACAGTTTTATAATAATTTCTCGAGACAGGAACATCAGATAGATGTTTTATATGTATCGTTTCACGCCTGAGATTCTCAGGTTTCATCCTATAGCCCCTTTCATTTTTCCTTTACAGCCCCTTTAAATAGCTTTAAAAATTCATGAAAAGTTAGATGACAATGTAATTACTTTTTTTAAAAATAAATCTAGCTTAAAACGCTTTGAAATACATTCCTTTTTTTGCTATTTTAAACACTGTTGGAATCGTTCTTTTTCCGAACGTTCCATCCACGTTCCATCCACGTTCCATTCACGTTCCATCCACGTTCCATCCACGTTCCGTTCCGTTCTTGGGGTTCTTAGTCAAAGAACGGTCCATCCCGTTCCTGTTAAAACGTTAATGTATGTTTTGGCAAAATCTTTTGAATGAATTCAACTGTTTCAAAAACTTTTATTATTTTCTTTTTTTCGCAAGACTTTTCAAGCAGCATGTAAAATGTAAAATGAGGGGAGGTCAAAAAAATTAAAAAATCGGTAATCTACAAAAAATACCTTTACATAAACTTTTAAATTTTAGAATAATGTGATTAAATCCCTCATTATTAAGTATCGTTTTCATGGGTTTTGACCATAATATTCACGTACTCCAGGGGGAATTGATTAAATCCTGTGGACGACAAAAGTATGAACAGACTTAAATCCCCCCCCTCTCTTGTCCCTGAATAAGATTATAATGAACAATAGAATGGTTTCTGTTCACAATATTTGTCTGTGAAATTGTTGTCTCGTAACAGGAAACCTTTAACTAATTTATAGTTACATTGTTCAACAGCTATATTACAAGCAAATCATCCATTACACCCCTAACTATCATGTCAAGTAGGCCATAGAGCAGAAATAGTATTTATCATGATTAGTATTGACGCAACATGAACTAGGCCACAGAAGAGAAATAGTATTTATCATGATCAGTATTGACTTTAGATGAACAGATCAAAGAGCATGAATAGTATTAACCATGATTAGTATCGACGCAACATGAATTTGGCCACAGAGCAGGAATAGTATTTATCATGATTCGTATTGGTGTAATCTTACCAGGCCACAGAACAGAAATAATAGTTATCATGATTGGTATTGACGCAACACAAACTAGGCCACAGAGCAGAAATAGTATCTATTAGGAATAGTATTGACGCAATCTAAACTATAGCACAGAACAGGAATAGTTGTTATCATGATTAGTATTGACGCAACATGAACCAGGCCACAGAAAAGAAATAGTTGTAATCATGATTAGTATTGACGAAATCTTACCAGGCCACAGAGCAGAAATAATAATAATCATGAGTAGTACTGACAGAACTTAAATATTTACAATAAAGAAAATGAATCCACTAAGTAGGAAAAAGAGCAAAAATAACATGTAATATGAGTAGTATTTACGCGCCTTCGCATATTTTTTTATGTTTTAAGCTTCATGTTCCGCGCATTTGCAACGTTATTACCTTTTTTTCTAATACGTCTCAATTGTCATTTTGTGAGAGTAGTAAACTTGAAACAGAGAAATTAAAGAACGAGAAACATTTTTTATAAAAATAAACTATTCTAAAACTGTTACTTATCTCCTAGTTACAGCTCGATGGACCTATATGAACGGAGATATTAATTGTGTTTTAATAATAAAAATTTACCGCAAAATCTTATTCCCCGCAGAGAATGTTGTGCACGACTTTGCTCTATGTACGTTATCTATACCTCTTCCATTACTAGTCTTAAACTTTTTCTATTTCCAGTCTTATACCTCTTCCATTACTAGTCTTATACCTCTTCCATTATTAGTATTATACCTCTTCTATTAATAGTCTTACACTTTTTCTATTACTAGTCTTATACCTCTTCCATTATTAATATTATACGTCTTCCATTACTAGTATTATACCTCTTCCATTACTAGTATTATACCTCTTCCATTACTAGTCTTACGCCTCTTCCATTATTAGTCTTATACCTCTTCTATTACTAGTCTTATACCTCTTCCATTATTAGTCTTATACCTCTTCCATTACTAGTATTATACCTCTTCCATTACTTGTATTATACCTCTTTCATTATTAGCATTATACCTTTTCAATTATTAGTCTTATATCTCTTCCATTACTAGTCTTTACCTCTTTTATTATAAGTATTATACCTCTTCCATCACTAGTCTTATACCTCTTCCATTACTAGTCTTATTGTTTATCAGTCAAATTCTGGATCAATTGCCCCGGCCCTTAGACGGGTTAAGGGAGCAAGAAATATATATTTTTCCCATGTTTCTTTCCCCATTGCTCTTTATTTCCTTGTACACCCCTGAGCCACGTTAACCCCCCCAGTTGAGCTTAGAACGGATTTGCCAAAGCTATAATATAAATACATAAAAACAGAATAGAAAATAGAAAATCTTGTTCAAACATATTTATATTAAGATCATTTGTTACTCTTGATTACAAATATCGGGTGTCTGAAAAAAACGTCCGTAAGAAATGTAATGTTTTTATTTTGTGCAACTTATTGGCAAAAAATTACATTTCATGCAAATAAGAAATTATTTTTGTTTTAAAAAAAACTTTACTTTGTTATATCCGAGTCCCAACGGTACCCTGCAGTAAACAGATTCAATCATTAAAACTATTTTAACAAAAAAGGAATTGAATATTAAGACATTGCTGAGAAGAAAATGATAAATGACTTTTCCAATGCTGGGGGTGTTCTATTTAAATCTATCGACTCTATCCAATCTGAATTCATTTATCATCAATAAACTAAGCCAAGGGCAATACTATAATACGTAGAATATATATCAGTGTACAACTGAATTAAAAATTTGAATTAAAGGGAGTGTTCGCGAAAAAAGGGTTGCAGGATGATCTATGGTATGGAATGATTGACATTTAATGAAATCACAAAGACCAAATCTATTATAAACGTAACACATTTGCCTGACATTATGACATTTTTAATTTACCAAAATAAATTTGTTTAGAAAATAATTGCGAAAACAATTATTTTGAACTAAATTTTAATTTTTTTCTTCCTATTTCCAGTGGCACCAATACATCTATCTATCTATCCGTTTATCCTTTTATCTATCTATCTAAAATCTAAGTATCTATCTATCTATTATGAATTTATGTTGTCTGCGGGATGACAATTCAATCACTCGTCAATTATCTAAATAATGGAGAGAGATTGAGATCTTGAGGTTTACTCTTATAATAAACAAACAGATAGAAAGAAAGATAGATAGATAGATAGATAGATAGAAGGAGATAGAAGAAATCTATCTATCTACATATTTATCTATTTACCTACATATTCCTCTGTCTATCACAATGTATCTGTCTATCTATCTATCTATTTATCTATCTATATATCCTTCTATCTTACTATCTTTACATCCTCATATCGTATTATCTATCTATCTATCTATCTATCTATCTATCTATATATCTTTATATCCATCAATTCAATCATCAATCTATGTATCTAACTATCTATGTATCTAACTATCTATGTAGCTAACTATCTATCTATCTAACTATTTATGTATTTAACTATCTATATATCTAACTATCCATGTATCTAGTGACTTGAGCTACAACGAGCTGACCAGCCTGGCTCCTGGTAGCCTGGAGAACCTGCCCTACCTACGGATACTACAGCTGGACAACAACAATATCAACTGTATTGATGGAGAGGTTAGATCTTAATTTAATAAAGGAGAAACGAGAAGAACAAAAATATTTTGAATTTGAATTTCTCATATATATTGTGCTTAAAGTCAAAACTAAAGGAGCAGTATATCTTCTCCTTGTTCATAGTGAAGATCACGCACCCCTGACCCTTTAGTAAAAAAATTCAATCTAAAGTCTGACCGCGTCAACCTTGTTGCACCAGCTAGTCCTATTATTGAGTGTCTGCTGTATTTACCCAATGTCCGGGCGATACAGTACAAACTGCAGAACCAGAAAGGTTGACACAGCTCGGAAATGCAAATGTACTACGGCTGCCCGTGAGATTGTTGAAATATTTATGTAAACATATATCTACTTATATTTTGTATTTTTGTTTCTTAATTTTAGAATTTTTCTTTACTTTATTGAATTGGCTTTTTGCTCGGAGTTGGAAATTAATTTTTACTAGATTTATTTTTCTTTGTTACTATATTCGTATATGTCCATTGGGGTTTTCTTTGTTACTATATTCTTTTTATGTTCATTGGGGTTTTCTTTGTTACTATATTCTTTATATGTTCGCTGGGATTTTCTTTGTTACTATATTCTTTTTATGTTCATTGGGGTTTTCTTTGTTACTATATTCTTTATATGTTCATCGGGGTTTTCTTTGTTACTATATTCTTTATATGTTCATTGGGGTTTTCTTTGTTACTATATTTGCTATATGTTCATTGGGGTTTTCTTTGCTACTATATTCGTTATATGTTCATTGGGTTTTCTTTGTTACTATATTCGTTATTTGTTCATTGGGATTTTCTTTGTTAATATATTCTTTATATGTTCATTGGGGTTTTCTTTGTTACTATATTCGTTATATGTTCATTGGGGTTTTCTTTGTTACTATATTCGTTATTTGTTCATTGGGGTGTTCTGTGTTACTATATTCGTTATATGTTCATTGGGGTTTTCTTTGCTACTATATTCTTTATATGTTCATTGGGGTTTTCTTTGTTACTAAATTCTTTATATGTTCATTGGGGTTTTATGTGTTACTATATTCTTTATATGTTCATTGGGGTTTTCTTTGTTACTATATTCGTTATATGTTCATTGGGTTTTCTTTTAACTTTTATTTTATTTTGTCTAACTTGAGAATGTTGAGAATGTTGTAATTACTGAATAGTAGAGTGTATGTAATGTGAGACAAGTATTATTATTGTAAATAGTATGAATCATGTATGTTTGTGATATGAGGGCTGTTGTTGTGTTGTATTCTATTGTCATGTTTGTATCTAAGGATTCTTAAAGGGACTGTTCGTGAAATTTTAAGTAACCTTCAATTCACAATGGAACCCTTTTAACCTTTGACTGTCGAAGGCTTACAGACTCTTCTTTTTTATCTACAAAAACGCTTGTTGGCAGCGTATTCAAGTTCGAATTCGAATGTGACGTCATCCGCGTTTAGTTCACACAGTATGCCATTGTACACTCCAATTTTACGACTTTTTACACAGTATTTAAGAGATATATTCAGTATACATTTAGTTCTCTGTCCTCTATAATATTTCAAAGGTCTAAAGGGTAGCGTTGTTAATCGGGAATGTCCCTTTTTAAATTGAAGATCAATTGAAATTTTGCTTACCGTCCCTTTAATCTTAACCAAACTATATAATGTTCAGTGTACAGTATACGGTTTTATCCAAACCAAACCTTTTTTTAACAATGGAAGAAACTGTTAGAATTAAACACTAGAAAAACGACAATATATTCAACATTTTTAATCAAATACACGTTCAAAGGGTAGAATTGGGAGTTGTACATGTCTCTCTTTAAATGGAAGATCGCTGGCTGCATTATCGCAAATTTTCAAATATTAAATTGCAACACGCAACCTAATTATTGCACGCTTTAGTAGAGAAGAATTTCAAGTTTCGTTATAAAAAAAACCTGATTGTGATTGTTTGAATGAAAACCAAAAAATATAGCTCCTAAAGTTCTTGATTTTGCATTTTCAAAGATAAAAGATAAATGGCAACCCCTCTTCACATTTTTTACTTTGTCCAATTTGAACCTCATATTTTACTATTTAAAATAATCAATTGTCTTTTTTATTGTTTTTTTTTAAGTTCTAAAATATTTTTATAAATATTTGTATAAATCTATGCAACCCCTTGCCACAGACAAGATATTTCTGTAAGGGCCTAAATTTGATAAATTAAAGGTTTACACCATCAGGTTCCAAAGATAAAGGAATTAGAAAATTTTTATTTGCAAAGAAATTAATCAATAAAAAAAATTTCTAAATTTATTACTTAAGGCATTCCGGTCCCTTCCTCAGTTGGTCTCCATTACACTACAGAACAATAATCTTAGCACTGTTCCAGAGAACATTAAACACAGTTTACCGAGACTTCAATCCCTTAGGTAATAGCTTATAGGGGAAATAATTCCTTAGATAATAGCTTAGGGAGGCAATAATTCTTTAGGTAATAGCTCAGAGAGGCAATAATTCTTTAGGTAATAGCTTAGAGAGGCAATAATTCCTTAGGTAATAGCTTAGAGATGCAATAATTCCTTAGGTAATAGCTTAGAGAGACAATAATTCCTTAGGTAATAGCTTAAAGAGGCAATAATCCCTTAGGTAATAGCTTAGAGAGGCAATAAGTCTTTAGGTAATAGCTTAGAGAGGCAATAATTCCTTAGGTAATAGCTTAAAGAAGCAATGATTCCTTAGGTAATAGCTTATAGGGGCAATCCCTTAGGTAATAGCTTATAGTAGCATACATTACATTGACTATAATCCTTTAGGTAATGCTAACCGGCCTTGAATTCTGTAAAATTTCGTATCAAAGTTTTGACTGTTTTGGCTTGAACCAAATCCTCTAAATTGTGACTTTTTTGGCTTGAACCAAATCCTCTAAAATGTGACTGTTTTGGCTTGAACCGAATCCTCTAAAATGTGGCTGTTTAGGCATGAACCGAATCCTCTAAAATGTGACTGTTTAGGCTTTAACCAAATCCTCTAAAATGTGACTGTTTAGGTTTGATCCAAATCCTCTAAAATGGGACTGTCTAGGCTTAAACCAAATCCTCTAAAATGTGACTGTTTAGGCTTTAACCAAATCCTCTAAAATTTGACTGTTTAGGCATAAACAGAATCCTCTAAAATGTGACTGTTTAGGCTCGAACCGAATCCTCCAAAATGTGACTGTTTAGACTTGAACCAATTCCTCTAAAATGTGACTGTTTAGGCTTTAACCGAATCCTCTAAAGTGTGACTGTTTAGGCATAAACAGAATCCTCTAAAATGTGACTGTTTAGGCATAAATAGAATCCTCTAAAATGTGACTGTTTAGGCTTGAACCGAATTCTCTAAAGTGTGACTGTTTAGGCATAAACAGAATCCTTTAAAATGTGACTGTTTAGGCTTGAACCGAATTCTCTAAAGTGTGACTGTTTAGGCTTGAACCGAATCCTCTAAAATGTGACTGTTTAGGGTTGAACCGAATTCTCTAAAATGTGACTGTTTAGGCATAAACAGAATCCTCTAAAATGTGACTGTTTAGGCTTGAACCGAATTCTCTAAAATGTGACTGTTTAGGCTTGAACCAAAATCCTCTAAAATGTGACTGTTTAGGGTTGAACCGAATTCTCTAAAATGTGACTGTTTAGGCTTGAACCGAATCCTCTAAAATGTGACTGTGGTCTAGACTGGATTCTCAACTTTGACACTTTGGCAACTTTAGGTAATTAAATCAATTAAATATTCATTAATTTTTCTTAACGAATGGATGTTAAAAACACTTTTTTCTGGAAAATATAATTTTTTAAATAATGAAATTTTGTTCAGCTCGGTGTCAATCGCCCTATTCCTTGTCTGGAAAAAGGATTGCTGAACTGAAAAAGAAGGATTTTAAATGCACAGGTATCATCATTATTTTTTTTATTATTATTGATTGTTCCAACTGGGCAAAAAAAGTAAGTTTAAAGTGATTGTTCTGCTATTTAGTCAATTAATGATAAGAAAACAAAATGGTCGAGAAATAATTGTTTTACCTCAAAGTATCTTCAATCCTGACTTCATTCATACCGTATCTCACTAATCTACGTTCAGATATTTGACAAATTGTCAATCAAAGGTCGTGAGATTGAAATTTATTTTACGTATTTCAAAGTTTCATTGTTCAAAATTTGAAATTTGGATATTATTTTTCTTAAACGCTTAATCTCGACATCCAATGTGGACTCTTTTAAGTTTGAAGATCAATGTTTGATCCCTCAATTAAAGTTATCCCTGAGGGCATGACCACCACTGGAAATTATGCCCGATCCCAAAATTCTGGAGTTCTGACTTCAGAATCAATTTTTAAAGAAAACTTCCGGATATTTTGTTTCAAGAAATGGTAAAACTGACCCGAATGTATCTGGTTAGCCCTTACTCAACCTCATCCTTGAACTTTATATAAGAAGTGTGGTTATATTGACTCGCACCGCCTCACCATATGATTATAAATGCTTTGCTGACCGTAGTTTTTCAAAGGTCGTCTTTTACTTTTTAAATGTGGTAATATATTTATTTTTTAAATAAACATTGTCATTCATTTTGATATACTAAAACCACACATTTTTAAAATAAAAGACGACCCTTTAATAAATCCCTTTTCCAAATGAAGTACCGTCTGTTTAGCATGTAATGTATAATCATATTGTGAGGCGAACCGGGTCGATCCCTCCTCCATTCTATTCTATTCCACAATCCTTGAACTTTATCCCACCACCAGCTCAGCTACATTTTCTCACATTAATCTACCCCTACACTTTTAACAAGGCATATTTACTGTAGAAACTCACAAAGAATTGTTTACACACAAAGTGTACTGCAATTGATAGGACACAAACTATACTGCAGTTGGTAAGACAGAAATTTAAGCTATTTACATTTTTATGTACGGATTTAAAACTGTATTTCTTAGAAACGTTTACATAAGATGGGAAACGTATTTCTGGAGAACATTAAACTGTTAAAAATTTCCCTTTTTTGTCTCTTTTATCCATCTTTATGGTCCTTCCGTCCTTCCTTCCTTCCTTCCTTCCGTTCTTATTCACACTTGACCCAGTTCCCCTTTGAATAGATGTAATACGAGGTTTCAATAACATTCCTTGCCTCCACCCTCCTCCCCCCGCACTCGAAGTCCCTTCTTAAGCATTTGTTTTGCACGATGGTCCACAGGCTAAATCATGGTGATTCAGATGTCCAGGTTTTGTACTTATTGAGTCTGTAATTTCGAACCAATTAATACCATTGAATATTGATTATTTGTTTCTTTAATTATACTTTTTTGTTAGCCTATACATTTCAAAAAAAATCACACGTTCCTGTTTGTTTATAGATTTTTAAGCTTCGTGTTTATCACGCTTTCTTTGATGGTTTTTGATCTAATCATCATCAACTGAGTTACCACAAATATGTCAGAACTTAGATCTAGTCAGTTTTCTGGTGCCGTGTAAATTAATTATATATTTAATAATATAAAAATTCTAATTTATAACATATTTACTCTTTGGTGTTTGGTGGTTAATAGCATAGGCATTTTATTAATTTTTAACATCATATTGTTCTGCTTTTTAAAGGTTTCAAATAAATTTAAGCATTTTCATGTAATTTTAAAGTGCATAACTAAAAGTTATCAAAAAGTTTAAGTTCCGCGATGAATTTTTTAACTTGTTAATTTGTTTCCGATTGTAAAGTTTTCGAATTATTTGATTTGTATTGATTATGGCTTCTTTAAATATACTTTGCTTGTCTGTCTGTTTGTTGTTTATATCTATATCCATTAAACGTCAAAACGGCTAAACCGATCGGACCCACATTTTTTGTGTGACTTCACGTGACCCCAGGGAAGGTTTATGGACGATCAAAATATGCCTCTAACAAATTATTTTTTGAAAATTTTGAAAATCAACGAAATATTTTTTTTTATAAAATCCGCCAAATTTTGTTATTTTTGTTTTACAATGTATACACAGAGAACATGTTCACAATTGAAATAGAAGATTGGCACGAAGCGCCCTAAAAGCCTAGTATTTCTAAATTTTTTTCAAATTTAGATTCTGCTTCGTATACAAAGACACACATTTTATTTTATGTATAGAATTGGAGTAATATACGTAAAATCAGAATATTTAAATTTAATAATATTGTTTAATATAAACTGCAATCTTTGGTGAACTACACATAATAATTGAATGATCAAACCATTGTTTTAAACCTATATAATAACGCTCTTCGCTCATATGTATATATATATATATATATATATATGTAAGCTAAAGC